TAGCAAAGGTCTGAATAAGCCCCAGAATACTTTCTCCAGTATAAACCCCAGAAATGCTTTGCTAGCATTTTAATGCATCATTTTTAGAGCTGTTCTAATTTTATCTTGAGGTTAACCATTTGGATCTGGCACTTCTCTGGCAATCTTTCCAAAGCCAAACTCCAAAAATGTCCATATTAAAAAAAAGGTGATTAAAATACCCATGCATATCGTTGATCCTAACTCAAAATAGATAATTCAGCATCTTCTGGTGCTTGTCATTTTTTCGACAGATCAGTTTCAAAATGTGCACTTAAAAATGAAAAAATTTCATCTTAAAACAAAAACAAAGTCAACTTTCATTATGGACAAAGAAAAGACAGCCCTTGACGCACCCAGGAGTGAGAGTGTGTGTATATATGTATATGTGCGTGTGTGTGTGTGTGCATGTGTGTGTGTGTGTGTAATATATATATAATATATTAACACATTTATACATATTATATACATTGTATACACATATGCATTTATGCATATTTGTTATATTTATAAAATATGTATATTTTATATATATACACACACACATACATAAACGCCTCTCACCTTCATCTCTATAATTCAATAGTTACTCTTGACCTATGCCAAAAAGTAGAATTTGTCATTCTAAACTGCCTGAAGAGTTAACTCACACGCATTACTGTCAATTACAAAGCCCATTATATTTCGTGGGAGTTTTAGTACATGATAGATAGGCCTAGGAGGAGCTTTGCCATGGAATATCAAAATCCAACAATAGGCTGAAACTAAAGTTTCTATAGAGGTACAAAAAGTAAGTTTTGACAAGGATGGAATTGCTGATCAAAGAAAGACAGCAACGCCATCCACAAACAAGCAGCAAATCAGTTGCAATGGGCACTTAACCTCTGTGGTCATGTCTTTGATCTCAAGCAAAAATGGTACAGATTTGAAGCCAGTTCCTCCTGACCCAACCAATTTCCAAGCTGAGCTTAACAAGCTGATTTAGGCAGGAAAGAGTTACTGTCTTGCTTTTCTTTTTCTTTTGTTGTTGTTTTGTTTCATGAAAAACGTTGAATAGTGAAATTCTTGTCCAGCACAGAACAGGTAACAGATTGAATTTAGCAAGCTCAGAAAAATGTGTAATAAAATGAAAAGTTGAAGGATAGTTAGATCTTGCTGCGTTTTTTGCACAGTGAAGCGCCTTTTGGACAATTAAAGAAAGAGAATCAATGAGCGTCCCAAAAGAAGATCTAGTCTGCCTTTCCTGTACCAAAGAACCATACAAGATACAGTTTTGTTGTCTTGAGGCTAGCAAAGCTAGTAAGGGGGAATTTAGCTCTGGATGTTGTTCTTTCTTTAGAAAACTATTGAGAAAAAAGCACAGGGCTGTTTGGAAGATATACACAAAACTCAACCTTTTCACTGGGAATTTTGCAACGACATAAACTGACGAAAAGCATAAACAAAGAACAAAACATCCCACCATAACGGAATCATTCATGTGATTGCTACTCTAAGTAACCAGAAACAAAACGATATTGTTTGTTCTGCTGTGAAGCAACTGCAGGTCACAGCTCCAACTAGCCTCAATGAGAACAAGGGAAAAGACAGGATATTTCTGAACTTGGCAGTGCTTCGATTTCACTTTGTAGTGCAACATCTGCCTAAGGAATGTCAGCATATTAATGCTACTATATGAGCTGCTGGCACTGCTCACATCAAAACGGCTGTAAAACCTTCATGCGAGGCATTAACTGGCATTAATTGATCAATATACAGAATAAAGAATTGTTGTGCATTGCCATGGTACCTTTCTTTCACAGAGTTAGAATAGTTTTGCCTCGAAAGCCACGCAAGACTTCCATTTAACTCTCGCTTTACAGATTAGGTAACTGAAGCTTAAGTGAGTTCTCTTCGCCACAACTGAAAAGCTCAGCCAAACTGGGAAGAAAACCCAGGTGTTACAGTTCTGTGCTACACTCAGAAATCCATTACTTTTCCCTAACTGGGAATCTCATTTACAAGTTAGTTTTGCTTGCATTTTTTTTAATAACCAAGAGACGAAATTCAGATAAAACAACAAGGTCCATATATCACCCCTCAAGATAGAAGTTGGCACCATAGATCAGTTTTTGGTTATTTAACCTACAGAACCGGAACTCAGGATCTTCCTCGCCTTCAGGAGTGACACTGTCCTTCAGGATGATGCAGCTTTCTACCTGCGCCATATCCGTCCTGCATTGCAAAACTTAATGCCACGTGTTCATCTGTCCCCTCTCCGTGGCCTTGGAGCATAATGCCAGAGGCTGCATGGGTGACGCGCTTTCAGCATTCGCAACAACTGCATTTGTGCCTGTCTGTCTATAGAGGCCCAGGATGGCTATTCATTGAATGTTCCTCCTGCCACCACACACCTGTAGAGCATCCAGACCTGGACTGATCTTGAGAGAATAAACAGCACTTACACAAAAGTAACAGTCTAAGCATGCTGCCAAGACCAAAGACCTCCTTGAAATGTTTCCCACATGTATTTTGCAGTACTTGGACTAAAGTAAGTGTATTTAGTGCTATTTTTGGATAGAGAAGGAGAGTACAGATGATACAATCACACCTTAAACATCCTAGCTGAGATTTTAGACAGGCCTTTACCCACCTGACATTCTCAGAGATCAAAGGCTAGACCTGAAAGTAAAGGGCACTAAGATCTGACCAGTTAGCACTTAAACATTTACAGCTAATCTGTGATTTGATTGGAAGACGACTCAGGATAAAATCTTAAATCAAATTCTCTTCCCTTTCTTAAATCAAATCCATTTTTTTATTCCATTACTTGCTGTGCAATATGTTGTAGAAGTACCAGAAACAAGCAAACAAAAGATATATTTTGTTTCCCAGAATTCAATTTGCCTCTAAAATTATTTGCGCAAAACTTGTTACAGAGGCACATGTAAAAGCCTCAGAGAAAGAAAAAAAATAAAAAAGAACTGCTCTTAATATCATCGTATGCAGCTTGATACTTTTATACTGCAATGTTTCTACTGGGCTGTCTGTGCTCTTATTGCTAAATAAAGCTCTTCCCATCTATGCAGCTCATAACTGAGCGTTCATCTATCCAGACAGGATGTTTTGGAGTATTTTGAGACAATGACTGCAAAGAATTATCACAAACTCTGCCTAAGCAGAATGTGCTTGGGGGAGGGTGAAACGGGTTTTATGAAACCAGTCACAAAAGTAACTGTGTCCTACCTGCGCCCAGTTGCTGAAGACCTGCCCGTTTCCTCCATAAGTAACAAGCTCCTGGGGAAACTGAGAAAAGCAATTTAATAATATTAAAGCAAGCAATTTCTGGAAATCTTTCAGAGTATAGCCTGCCTATTTGAAAAAAAAAAATCTCATTTACAAATCTTCACTGCAGCTTATTGCATCAACCTCGTCTAGATTACTGAAATCAGAAAATATCGTCATAAAAGTAATAGTTTAAGCAAAAAAATCCAAAAAACAAAAAAACCCTTCAAATAGTGTTTGTTATTGTTATAATGGTATTTTGGTGATGTCAGATGCTACAAAGCTGTTTCTGGACTGCAGCTTCTGTAACAAATAGACATCCCAGAAAATTCTGTTAAATAGGATCTGAGTGATCTCACAGTCAGATTGCCACTGGCATTTGCTGCTGAAAGGGCCAAGGGCCAGCACAGCAGGGTTTTATGGCCTCTCCTCTGCCATTTGTACAACAAATGCATTACACTGGGTAGTGCTTGTAAGGAGGGACTTTGGTCCTGTAACCTTCTAGTAAATCTGTCCTTAAGAGATGACTTTTCAAAGCTGCAGAAAGTAGCAACATCAATTTTTCAATATATGTTGTTTCAATATATGTTTTTCAATAAGTTTCGTACTAAGAGCTGAACTCTACCTGTCTCACAGACAGTGACTAAGCTCCTGTGTATAACGGGAGCTGGAGACATCTCATCAGTGTTACAGGAGGCTTCACAGGTCAGACTTAGGACCAGAGCCCACAGTGCACAATTAAAAACTACACACAGTAGCAAATTTAAGAACTTAATACAAAAGACCCCAAGACCCAGGCATCACAGCATAACCACAAGAAGAGCGCAAGAGAGATATATAATCACTCGTTCGCCCCTTGCAGGTCTAGCCTCATGGAAATGATCATTTTGGCATATCACACTGAAAAGAGACGGCTTTGGCACTACTGAAATCAGCCTGCTTAGCTAACACAGAGCAGCCAGCTTTACACGTAGGAGGACTGGCACGTATCTCAGGGCACAGAACCAGCAAAAGGCTAATGAACAACTAATATCCTATTCAAGGCTTGGAGAGAGGATCATCTGCACAGGGATTAATTTCACCCATATGCCTATATTTTTCAGTTGTTATATGAGCATATGCCGGAAGTAACTTGCAGACTTGCTTCTGTCATGTGAATACTTTCCAGCTTCCTTATTTTCACTGTGCCTTACCTGAGCCACTGAGGGATCCAGATTATTCATGATCATCAGCATAATAGCAGCAGCTGATTTGGTCTTGCAAGGATATTCTTCTATGGGGTATGCTCTGAAACAGTATCCACCAAACTTTAGAGAGACGCTTCTACTCATAGATAAAGAGAACAACAACAACAACAACAAAATACCCCACAGAAATATCACTGAACGTCAACAAATCGCCTTGAGCTACAGGTTTTTTTATTCAGAAGGGAAGGGTGAAAACTAAAAGGAGAAAGTGCAAATCTGAAGTGACATGTACAGGCAAATCAGGTTTCAACTTCTATCAGAACTAAACAAAGAAAACTAAAAAAAAAAAAATTGGATTCAGCCTATCATTTGCTGAGTCAGTTTATCACAAGTGGTTATAAATACAGTGCCCATGAGTCCTCTCTGCTTCTTCTCTCTGCATGTTCAAGCATGTTCCTGGATTATTTGGAACATGCTTGAACTGCTTTTTGTATGCCAGTTGCCAGGCCAAGCAGCTACATCCTGCAACGCCAAGGTGTCAGTCATAAATTAAATGCATTTCATGCAGAAATTTGAGAGGTGAGATGCGTGGAATTCTCACAAAGATATTTTTCTGAGTCAGATTTCCTCGCACTGATGTACTTTAAGGGCAGCTGCTGCAATCACCTCACTGCTCTCTTCTCCTCCACCATCTACTTCTTGTATCAAATTGTTTCAAAACTTGCAGTCTTACGCTTACACTGTTGCAGGGCAGAGACAATCTCTTTGCTATGTGTTTGTACGGGCCTCAGTACAATTGTCTGGAGGCCTTCAGGGTCCAATATCAAAAATAAGTATAGCCATTAATCAAAAGTTTCACTCTTTTGCTCCTTCCCTCTCCCATAAGCAGCAACATTATTACAGACACTAGAAATTCCTGAAGGTAGATAGGATCTTTTGACATGTTTTCTAAATCATCTTTCTTTTATTGGCCCATAGCTGTTTGGTGGCTGGACATTTGCTTTGGGGAAAACAGTTACACTGAAAAGGTTAGGCTGAAGAGCGCCAACTACAAAAGAGTCAAACATCTGCTGACCAGCTCCTGAGCCAAGATCCGAAATGTATATTGTATACATTTAGCAAATGAGCTCCTCCCATGGTGCTATATGCTTTATTCTAGCTATTTACATCAGGATACTAAAATAAATGCCTTGTAGTCACTGCCAAACCAGGAGGAAGAGCATCTGAGTTGTTCAAAATATGTTTCTGGTGCCAGAGTTCTCTGCTCTTCTAAATTTGAGGTGATAAAATAACAGGATTTCTGTAGAATATGATACCAGTTCATCAAAAGGAGTTATTTCCATATGAGAGTTCTCAGAACATAAGCAACACCAAGTTCAGGTACTAGCTAACAGAGTGCTGATACAGAAACAAGGGTGTTAAATGAAACAGAAACAAGCTGGACTGCACTCCCTTGGAAATACAAAACAAAATTGAATACTACCAGACTACAAAGAACAAAAGGCATTTACTTAATCTCTAAGGCTCTAAGAAACTATTAGGAAGGGTGGGCAAAGAAATAGATACAAACTATGAAAAAAAAATTTGAAGTTGTTAAAGAGTTAGCAATGGAAATCAGCTGGTGGATTGTCTCATCCAGTCCTGCCAGTGGAAGGTGCCCTCATCTGTACTTCAGGACTTGGCTCCTCTGAAGTCCAGCACTGCAATATTTTTCAGTCTTCCAGTTGTCCTCCCCATAGCTGAATTCTGCAAGAGCTGACCCCACACTAGTACGGATAGCGCAGAAATATAGTTGTTTGTGCAAATTAGAGTGCTCTTCAGTTGCTAGTTTTATTCAAATTTCTTATAGATATTAACCAGACCTCTACAGGATGCAAAAAGGAATCAATCAGTTTAAAAAAAAAAAAAGCAGCTAGGCCATGGCGGCCCTCACCAAAACTATTCTGCTTCACAAACATTAGCCCCATTAGCCCTACAATGAAGCAATGCTCCAAAACCATCAGGCAACAGGCCCAGCATATTACAAACCAGGGTCAGATACAGGCTCCAAGGACCAAAGAACACGCAGCCTCCCTTTTATGCCCAGGGAGCCTTCTCTGTGTGACTGAGGAGCAACCAACCACCCACCGCAGGTCCAGCCAGTGCCCTTTACTTTCAGGTCTAGCCTTTGATCTCTGAGAATGTCAGGTGGGTAAAGGCCTGTCTAAAATCTCAGCTAGGATGTTTAAGGTGTGATTGTATCATCTGTACTCTCCTTCTCTATCCAAAGCCATCCAGTCATCTGGTCTTTCCTCTTGGTTCATTCAAATTTGACTTACAGGATACCAGGACTATTGCAGACTTTCTGTCCAGGTTGCAATTAGAGGTCAAATAAAGACTGGTCCCTAGAAACTTTAAGACTCACATGTCTATGCATTTCAGTGCATCTGGGACAGTCCTAAAGAGGCTTATGAAACACGATAATCGTCTCTGTGTAGGGCAAAGCTGGTTTTACAACACAGGATGCTGCACAGCCCCTTCCGGGTGACTTGCTGGACCACTGAGAGCAATACATCTTGATTGTGTGCACGCACACTGTGCAGGTAATACCATGCTGAGTGATGCTGAGCTTTCCAGCATGCAGCAAGACTGTCCTGGCCCTGCCAGGGACCATCCGGAAAGATGCAGAGTGTCTCCCTACTAACTCCATGAGACTCTGGTGAGGACAGAGAGCAGGACAAACACTGGAGGATGAAGGATCTCTGTTAGGCAGCTTTACAGAAGAGCATCCCAAAAGACTGAGTAACACTCCTTGGAAGTGAAACCACTGTTCTCTAATGACACACAGGACATCTGATTTATTCAGCTGACACATTTCGTTAATGTCATGACATGACTTCTGCAAGAGGTAAAATAGGATGGAGTGGTATTTCTACTCAAAGGTTACTTCCAAATGTGAAAGCTGTAAGCAAATGTCAATGAAATGCAACAAGTTCTGAATGCTCTAGTCCTTACCTCATCTCAATATCTGGAAAGAACCTGTACATATATATATGTCCATACAGCCTGAGTTCTTCAGCAAATTCCAGCGCCAATATCTTCTGTATTTCAGGTGGGAAATAACGCAAGGCATTCCGCAAAGCCAGCTGCCAAAAAAGCAAAAGACCCACAAACACACACACACATACACAAAACAAGGTAAGAGAGAAATGGAGGTATGTGTACAGCCCCGAACTTTAAGCAGACTCAGCTGGCAAACCTGCCCAGGATAACACTATGATGATTTTTAAAGGACAATTGAAATTTCTCCATCTGCCTCTTTTCTTGTAGACTAAATTGCTGAATACAGGGGGGGCCTATCCCTCCCCCACCCCCCCCAACTCTGTAGTGAGAGATTTTGGAGGTTTGCTGGGTAGCACCCAATCCTGTAGGTCAGAAATGGACAAATTCCCCCTCATAGTGCTAGGGGGCACTGAACTACCAAGAAAAATACTGTTCAGAAATCATTAATCTGAGAACCTGAACTCCTAGAGACACTGAAGATCCTACTGAACTTTCCATTCAAGTAAAGGATCTCGGCCCTGAATTATGTGACTTTGGTCCCAGATGAAGATGTTTTTGGACTAAGTTTTATTAGATAAAGATTCACTACATTTACCATCCTAACATATTGCAGAAGGTGGTGGCTCACACTATTTTATTGATGCTACATGTATCACTTCCAAATTAGGTAAAGTGATTAGCAGGCACTAAATTAAAATCTGCATATGATACTAAGAGGCTTCTATTCTCTGTTGCTTTCAAAGACATTACCCATAGTTTGCAAAGCACATTGTTCTTCTTTTATATGAAAGAAACCATAAATAAATCACTATCTTTAGTAACAGTCATATCTGCATATTTCACGTTCCACTTGTTTAAAATCAGAATGAGAATAAAAATTTTGTAATCTTTAAAAAGCCAATTGCATGCAAAGACACTAAAAGACCTCGTAAACAGCAGCACTATCCAAACAACTCTTAGTTAAAGAGATTCACAAACTCTGCAAAATTTCACGGCTTCATTAAGCTGATTTGTAAGGACTGGGGGAGGGCAGAAGGAAATGAATTTTGCTTCCAGATCTGATATGAGCCGAAGCAGGAAAATCCAGTTTTGGGGAGGGCTGAGCATACCCCATGCTGGAAGCACCTGCTGTTGACAGTTCAAAGAATCATGAAAGCAAGTATTTTCTGGAGGAAGTCAAGGGGTGGGTTGTAATACAAGAAAAAGGGATTAGAACAAAGGCATCTAGAACTCTCCAGTCTAGGTACCTTCGCTCTCGTTCCGGGAGAAAAAAAAATACCCTGGCAAAAAGTCCCAACAAGCTCTACAAAGCCCTCATTTTGGCTCAGTGATAAACCTCTTCTTGATTCAACAGTGTGGTTTGGACCTCATGGCTAGAGTTCTCCAGCTGCTTCCTCATCCAGGACCGCTGGTCCCACATATCTCAGAGCAGACTGAAGGAACAGTATTTCTAAATAGTATCTAGTAAGTATTTCTAAATCTAAAAATACCCCTTAGAGAGTGTTCTCGTTGGCATATTTGCTACTGAACGCACACAGAGGTCAGATACTTCTGGATCAACAAATCTATGCTGATTTACACCAGATGAGAATCAGACCTGTAAAACCCTGCAGTGAGATTTGCCATTTCACATTGAGAATAACAAGGGGGGAAAGAAACATATTTACCAGACTAGCAATTGCAAATTCCACCTTCAAATATCACTTTATTGTTCTTCAACTAGATAAGCAGCCGTTTTTCCAAGAGCACGTTACAAGCTAACAAAGCCCCCAGCTACGTTTACCCTGTGGCAAAATGCAAGAGGTTTTTCAAAGTCAGTATCTCGGAGGCAAACAGCCATCATGGGGATCCTAGCTCTGAAAAATTTCTAAAGTGACAATGAAACCCGCTACATCCCTTGTAACAACAAAATCAAGTTCTACAAAAGGAACAAAAGAGTGTCATCTGTTGAAATGAAAAAATGTTGCCACATTTGGAATTTTGGCTGCCTATGAGAACTACAGAGAATGATCAGGATGAAAACATTTTATTTCCAGTCTGGCAAGGATCACCCGGGCTTCGATCAATGTTTTATTTGTATTATAATGATTTTTTTTTAATTTGCCCTAAAAATAAGAGCAAGCAAAATCTGTTTGCATTTTCAGACAAATTTCACTTAAACAGAGCCTATGTCCTATTAGCCTTCCGTGTTAACCGAAGCCTGAATTTTGATGATGCAAGCATTAAAGAAACATGAATTCTGATGCTACGTGAAGGGCAGGAAGGGCTCCTGGGTTGTGTAGACAATAGGGAGCTGATCTTATAAAAAGAGACCAAGACTGTGGCTTGTTCAGCCTGAAAGAACAAAGGTGGCATTTGATTGCTGTCTCTCTGCAGGATAAATGTCAAAGCAGGAAGGAGCTTCAGGGAAATGCTGAAAGAGGAATAAACAGCTATTAATTAGCCATGAAGAAACAGTCTTCAAATTAGAAGAATTTAAATATAAGATTCTGAAAGAGCCTCTTAATAGGAGAGCTATGGCACTTGAAATTAGTTAGAGCCTGACTGGTTTATGAAAAGGCAATTGCCACATGTGTCTGAATGAATTTTGCATATTCATTATTGAGTTATAAACTGAATAACCTTAGAAAAGCACTCAAGGACCAAATTCAAATAGGCTGATCATCATGCTTTTGTGGAAAGGCAGTACAAGGCCACCTCTTCCTTACATTTCATTAAAGGATCATATAAATTATTAATCTGACCTTTACATAGAATTAATTTTACCCATAATGGAGACATTCCACTCCAAATTTTAGACATTGTGGGTTTGATACTCAGGTGTTATTCCTGTTCTTAGTTTCCCCTCCCAGCAGCTTGAGCTGCATGTGCTTAGCACCTCTGCAAATCAGGTTCAGAGTTTGCTGGAATTTGGAAAAAAAATATATCTATATATCTAGATATATAGATATATCTCAATGGTGATTATACTCCTGAACCTGTTTGGTTGTTTTGCAAATCCCACCATGAATTTGTGGAGAGTCTCTGATTCAGCTCAGCACAATGCAAGTATTTGATGCAAAGTCTTCCTCTCAGATCTGCCAGGTGGATCTAATGTTTGGTTCTTGTGTTCAAGCTCTCACTAGCAGACTATCTTTATACTTACTGGAACTCACACAGCAAAACATGATCCTGCTGCCATTTAATCAAAAGTCAGAACTCATCAACACCAACAGCAGGTAGTCAAAAGAGTCCATGAAATCCTGCTTCAGTCAATCAACTGTATCTTTGTCATGGGACTCTCTTGAGAAATCAAATCATCCTCTTGCTAATTGGTCCTTATTGAAGAGCTGGTCCCTCTTCAGGATGAATGGCATTCATTTTCCTTCCAAACATTATAAGGACTCCCAATTTAAGGATCTCAGGATCTTCACGAATACTAAAATCTGCAGTCTACCCCTTTACAAAGGGGAAGTAAAGCATATACAGCAAGTGACAGTTCTCCTGTCCTTACCCAGTGAAGATATTGCTTGCCTCCCACCCGTCTCACATTTGATCGTATCCAGGCTCAGAATCATTGGTGGAACTATTCTCTAACCAGCAGCTGTAAGAGATTGTTGTTTCATGTATTATTTTCCCTGGATGGATCTCAGTTCAGACCAGCTCAGCTAGAAGTAAGCATAGTCATTTCTGACCAGCTATTGCTATAAATGGCCATTGGCTGGGAAAGTTCAGTTCTTTATCACTAAAACTTTCTAAGACAGGAGCTAACAGCTGACCTTCCCAATCCATATACAAACTTTCAAAAGTGACTCAATTTCCAGCTGCATAAAACAACCATCAAGTTCAAGCATCCTGCTTCTTCTCCAGTAAGGAGAACAGGATCTTCAGGTGCTATGCACCTTTGCAACACTTCCAGCTCTGATTTTTAACTCTTCATACAAGGATGTCCGGGCACAGCAAGGACTAGCTGCTCCCTAAGCAATGAGGGGCCAAGGCAAAACACAGCCAGCAGGGCAGAGGCATGATCAGCCAGGGCCCCGTCTCACAGCACCCAAGCGAAGAGAGCATGGCAGGACAGGGTGGCAGCCAGGTTCAACCAAGAGTTCAGATCATCAAGCAAGTTTGTGGTGATGAGGCAGGTCCAAGGTCCAACCAAGAACACAAGTCAGAATCAGGTCTGGTGACAGTAGCCAGAGTCAGACACAGTGCAGAGATCAGAAGGCCCATCCATAGCGACAAGGCAGGTCTGAGGTCAAGCCAGGAAGAAAGTCTGCAGGCTAGGGTCCAGATCAATTAGGTCCATAGCCAGAAACAGGCATAGCTATGACTGAGCTGGAAACCAGTACTCCTACCACATACCTCAGAGAGGAGTAAAAGCTCAGGACTGAGCTTAAATGGAGCCCCTGGGCCCATGGTGTGGGTGGAGGTCCCAGGTGAGGCTGGTCAGGGCTGTTAAAGGCCTATTAGTGCAGTCAGGGCTCAGACACAGGAACACAAATTAAGAGATTGCAGTCAGGTAAGAGATGATTATGTTGGGGTAGGAAAAGGGCTGTAACATGATTGGACTCAAAGACACAAAAGGAAACTGATATATGGATAAGAAAATGCCATTTTTTTTTCTGATTCTAAGCAACACTGACAAGTGTATATTCCTCCCAAGTTGCATCAGCTTTACTGGAAGGTCAATGAGTACGCAATGTCCTTGCCTTGCAAAGGACACCTCAAGCATGAGGTTTTAGGGGTAAGTTATTTGCAGCATATTTATATTGAGATA